CTTTATCATCTCACTCTCTACACATCTTACTGATTAGACCTTTAGAGTTTAATTCTGGTGAATCCCAGACCTCATGATTTAGTTTCAGTAACAGTCAGAGGTCATTTCTCTTTATTCTCTTCTCTTCTTTCATGTTATCTAGTCCTCCTTGTTCTTAGTATCACTTCTCCCACACGTTTTTTCTGAACATGAGTTAAAACTCGTCAGGCTGATTTTCAGTCCAGATATGAAAATATTTTATAATATGACTTTGTGGTTTTTGGCTGGTGGCCTTTGGGACTTCTTCATTCTGAGGTAGGGTGATGTCACTCGATTTCACTTCTCAGTTTATCTTCTCTCTGCTGTCATCAGACCTTTCTAAATGTCATCTGAGATATACGAGTACGTTCATGTGGACACAAATACACAAATACAAACCCACACAATTTCCCTTCGCCTGTCGGTGTTCCCCTTTCAGAGCTGAGCGCTGCTTCCCTTTCAAAGTTTGACATTTCCTCATCACTTCAAGGGTTTCCCAAAGTCACTGTAAATATGACAGTTTGAAGCCTGAGCGACGTCACCCCATCTGTTCCTGCAGGGGGCGCTGGAGCTGAGGCGGGTTTTAAACCTCCTGACAAACCGTTACACCGCGCCCACCTGTCAATCAGGTCAGCTACACGCCTTATTGTGAATAACTCTTATCCTTCATCAAATCAAAACTGATGAGTCATCAAAACATTCACCCCCCGTACAGTGTGTGTCCATCCAGACATGAGCTAATCACACCTATTTGGTTTTTTGAACCAGGCTGTAAACATGTTCATCTCTGCTGTAAAAACAGGCTTTTTAGAATGGGTGTGTATGTGACTTCCTGTGCTTCTGCAGCCAGCCTCTAGTGGACACTCCAGGAACTGCAGGATTTTACACTTCTGCCTCAGCTTCATGTTTCAACACTGGAGGTTGCCCCTGTCACTTTCTTGAGTTTGTGTTGTATGATAAACTTCATGAATCAAAAGGTAATGTGAACGACGAGCAGCTCAACAGCAAGAGAAGGGTTGAGTAATTAAACTATTATCACCTTACGTCTGAGACGCCCTGTGATTTCATTCACTCTGATGAAATAGCTGTGTTTTAGTAGGTGGATTAACGACAGGTGTGGCTCCAATCTGTCTTCTTCTATACGCAGCAAACACTGCCGGCTCTCAGGGCTTGAAGCTGCTAATCAGTCAAAAACACTAAAGCTGTTTTCACATCTGCACTCCTGAAATCCTCCTGACCTGGTTGTTTACACATGCACCTCACAGCAGGAGACTATCACTGTCAGACGGGGGGGATGAGAGAATATGTGTGTTTGTATCAATGCTGCGTGAAGTTGAAGAGAATCTCAATGTGAAGTAAAGAGAGGAGAAGAACATCCTGGAGAACAGGAAACATGCAGCAGCAGGTTGATTAGAGCACGGAGATGGTAGAGGTGGCGTGCAGACAGTCTATGGTCGTGCAGCGATCACAGGGAATAAAGGTCACCACCCCCTCCCACTGGCTCCTCCCACTGGCCCCTCCCACTGGCCCCTCCCACTGGCTCCAGGTGAATTCTCCTGATTATATCCTGCTGTGTTCTCACATCAGCTCACTCTGACTTTCTGCAAGATAAATACGAGGAGGCTGGAGGAGAAACTCAGAGTGAAGAGAGAAACATTCAGATGTTTGAGTGATCACATGACGCTCAGAGTGAAGAGAGAAACATTCAGATGTTTGAGTGATCACATGACGCTCAGAGTGAAGAGAGAAACATTCAGATGTTTGAGTGATCACATGACGCTCAGAGTGAAGAGAGAAACATTCAGATGTTTGAGTGATCACATGACGCTCAGAGTGAAGAGAGAAACATTCAGATGTTTGAGTGATCACATGACGCTCAGACTGAGAACACTTCAGGAGGTTTAGTGAGAGAGTGAACGAGTCTTAATTCATGTTAATTCACCCCTAACTGCTCTGCAGAGCAAACAGCATCTCAGTGAACGCTACGATCTCCGTGCCAGATGTTTTCAGGAATCAGATGTAAAAACAGCTGTACTGCTCTACATCGTCACGTTGTTTCACTCAGACGCCACAAAATATATAAAATCATAAGAAAACGTTCTGTAATCAACCTGCGACCACATCAGATCACATGAGGTTCTTAATATTTAAGCAGATATAAATCATTCATGTGGCTTCATGTCATTGGCTCTGACTGAACGCATCAGGTGAGGACGACACAGGTGAGGACACACAGGGAAGCTGGAAACTCCGACTTTGAATGTCAACAGAACAGCGACAGCACTTCCTTTATGAGATGATGTCATCAGACGACCTGATCAAGGTGTGCTCTCTCTAATTACTGACATCACAAACAAAACAATTAGAAGAGAACTACACACACACACACACACATACACACACACACACACACACACACACACACACATACATCACACACAAACTGATTAAAAGATGAAGTGAATCTGGAAAAACCCGAGACAAAGACATATTGTGTGTGTGTGTGTGTGTATTTGTTTTCCATAATTATGCAAAATGAATGTGCGTCACTGTGTTTGTATATTGTGTGTGTGTGCAGCCTCGAGTCGGGGACACCGCAGAGACCTGAAATAGGACATCCATACATTTTGTTTTCCAGTGACAACAAGTGACTTTGGTTTCTCGACTCATTCATCTCGTTATGCTGAGATAAAAACAACTGGTTTAACTTTCACTCTTTGTCGTCAGATCTCCAGAAATGAACTTGTGATCTCGAGGTGATCACAGAAAAAAGTCGAGATCTTGAAATGACACATCGTCGTCATCATGTGAATACAGAACATCAAAGGTGTTGAAATGTGTCCTCTTATGGCCAACAACAACTTGCTTTTTCATGAATGTCTGAATAATAAACATGGTAGTAAACATAGTGTGTTTTTAACAGAGCAGCAGAGTCTTCACAGCGTGAGAGGAGGAGAGACAGAGAGAGAGAGAGAGAGAGACGGAGAGGGGGAAAGTGAAAACACTGATGTTGCAACACGTGGTAAAGTACGCTGACACAGAAATAATGTTGTTGTTCCAGAGACGAGAGAGACAGAGTGAAATCATCTGCACTCCAGAAAGGAAACAGAACCACTGTAAAGTCCAGAGAGGAGAGAGAGAGAGAGAGAGAGAGAGAGACAGAGAGAGGGAGAGAGAGAGAGAGAGAGAGAGAGAGACAGAGAGAGGGAGAGAGAGAGAGAGAGAGAGAGAGAGAGAGAGAGGGAGAGAGAGAGAGAGAGACAGAGAGGGAGAGAGAGAGAGAGAGAGAGAGAGAGAGAGAGAGAGAGACAGAGAGGGAGAGAGAGAGAGAGAGAGAGAGAGAGAGAGAGAGAGAGAGAGAGAGAGAGAGAGAGAGAGACAGAGAGAGAGAGAGAGAGAGAGAGAGAGAGAGAGGGAGAGAGAGAGAGAGAGAGAGAGAGGGAGAGAGAGAGAGAGAGAGAGAGAGAGAGAGGGAGAGAGAGAGAGAGAGAGAGAGAGAGAGAGAGAGAGAGAGAGAGAGAGAGAGAGACAGAGAGAGGGAGAGAGAGAGAGAGAGAGAGAGAGAGAGAGAGAGGGAGAGAGAGAGAGAGAGAGACAGAGAGGGAGAGAGAGAGAGAAGAAGAGAGAGAGAGAGAGAGACAGAGAGGGAGAGAGAGAGAGAGAGAGAGAGAGAGAGAGAGAGAGAGAGAGAGAGGGGGGGAAAGTGAAAGAGAGAACAGAAAACAGAGGAACTTTTTGAAAGATGTCGTCTCTGAAGATTTTCCCTGAAGCAGTTTGGACAGCAGCTTCCCTTTCTACTGAAACAGAACTTGTGATGTCATCAGCCTGAAATAAATCACCATAATCAACATAAATGTTGAAGGATAGACTAACGATGGTTTTCCATACTTCCTGTTTCACTCCTCAAGACATTCATTTCTCTTATTTTAAAGGTGAGGTCACGGTGTGAGTGTCACACTTGTGTATAAACTGTGTTTGTTGAATCTTGTCCCTGCAGACTCTCTGTTGCTGAACAGATAACATCCTGCAGCTCGTTGGCAGGTGGCCTGATGTCTAACCGTTCTTCACTCCATGTCGTGTTATTAATGAAGGTCAACACAAACACAACATGTTTATGACTCTAAACATTGAACCGTCTGAGTCCGACATGTGGACTACAGTTTGACCTGAGCGTCACTTATGTCTACAGAAGAAAATGTGCTGGAAGGAAACATATTAAATATTAAACTACAAAATGTGTGTTTGTCTGTGTGTGTGTGTGTGTGTGTGTGTGTGTGGAGGGCTCCTTTTCTAAATGTATTTTGAATCTATTGGTTCATTTCTGAACATGTTTTTTCCCCCGTGTCTTACAGTAAAGCACAGCGAGTTTACGTTTGTATGAAATGTGTTAACAAATGAAACTAAATCATTTATAATACAAATCCAAAGTTATTCAACATTATATAACAAAATGCAATAACAATAATATAAGATAGTGTATCATCATATAATAAAAGATATGAAAAAACATGATATAATAATATAATAATATAATATAGCTCATAGTCTGGATATGAGTCTTGAATTGAAATGAAAATCAAACTTTATAAATTTAACAGATTATAAAATATTTAAAATATTAAACTTGTGGATTATTTTAATCCAACATTTATTTTAAAATTGTGAATTGTACTCCAAATATATCAAATGTATAAATTTAAAGGTTGAAATAACATAAAAAAAACACTTTTATATCCGCTTACATTCATTAATAAATGCTCTCATCCGGGTAATTTACTCCTGAGGCGAGTGGATAGAAGGGGGCGGGGCCAACCTGTTGAATGTGACGAATTTACCGTAAATTATGGAGAAGATAGCGGAGCGCGACGTCACAGCTCGTCGCTGATTGGATGAGAGCTGGGGGGGGGCGCGATTTCACCCAGAAAGGGGCGGGGCCGGCATTGTTTGGGCAAAGTACCCGGATGGGTTGCTCTTATGAATAGAGCAGTTGAACCCGTGTAGCGTCAGAGAAGAAGAAACACCGACCGCGTTAAACCAGGTGATAAAGAGGACCCGTTTGTACTCCACCTGTTGGACTATACCTGGACACGGACACTCGTGAAGACCCTGTTCCGTGTTTTAAATCCTTCATCTTCATTCTTCTTCATTCATCTTCATCAATCTGTCCGACATGCTGAAGCTGCTGTGCCTCGTGTTGATGTTTTCAGCCTCTGTGTTCTCAGAGTCGGTGAGTTTACTGAACCTCTCAGACTGTTTCTGACTGTTACTGACTGTTACTGACTGTTTCTGACTGTTTCAGACTGTTACTGACTGTTTCTGACTGTTTCAGACTGTTACTGACTGTTTCTGACTGTTACTGACTGTTACTGACTGTTTCATTAAGTGTAGGAACTGTTTCTGACTGTTTCTGACTGTTTCATTAAGTGTAGGAACTGTTTCTGACTGTTTCATTAAGTGTAGGAACTGTTTCTGACTGTTTCAGTCTGTTTCTGACTGTTTCAGACTGTTTCATTAAGTGTAGGAACTGTTTCTGACTGTTTCATTAAGTGTAGGAACTGTTTCTGACTGTTTCAGTCTGTTTCTGACTGTTACTGACTGTTTCATTAAGTGTAGGAACTGTTTCTGACTGTTTCTGACTGTTTCATTAAGTGTAGGAACTGTTTCTGACTGTTTCAGTCTGTTTCTGACTGTTTCAGACTGTTTCATTAAGTGTAGGAACTGTTTCTGACTGTTTCTGACTGTTTCTGACTGTTACTGACTGTTTCTGACTGTTTCTGACTGTTACTGACTGTTTCATTAAGTGTAGGAACTGTTTCTGACTGTTTCTGACTGTTTCTGACTGTTTCATTAAGTGTAGGAACTGTTTCTGACTGTTTCTGACTGTTACTGACTGTTTCTGACTGTTACTGACTGTTTCTGACTGTTTCTGACTGTTACTGACTGTTTCAGACTGTTACTGACTGTTTCTGACTGTTACTGACTGTTACTGACTGTTTCTGACTGTTACTGACTGTTTCATTAAGTGTAGGAACTGTTTCAGACTGTTACTGACTGTTTCTGACTGTTTCAGACTGTTTCATTAAGTGTAGGAACTGTTTCTGACTGTTTCTGACTGTTACTGACTGTTTCTGACTGTTACTGACTGTTTCTGACTGTTTCTGACTGTTACTGACTGTTTCATTAAGTGTAGGAACTGTTTCTGACTGTTTCTGACTGTTTCTGACTGTTTCATTAAGTGTAGGAACTGTTTCTGACTGTTTCTGACTGTTACTGACTGTTTCTGACTGTTACTGACTGTTTCTGACTGTTTCTGACTGTTACTGACTGTTTCAGACTGTTACTGACTGTTTCTGACTGTTACTGACTGTTACTGACTGTTTCTGACTGTTACTGACTGTTTCATTAAGTGTAGGAACTGTTTCAGACTGTTACTGACTGTTTCTGACTGTTTCATTAAGTGTAGGAACTGTTTCTGACTGTTTCTGACTGTTTCAGTCTGTTTCTGACTGTTTCAGACTGTTTCATTAAGTGTAGGAACTGTTTCTGACTGTTTCAGTCTGTTTCTGACTGTTTCATTAAGTGTAGGAACTGTTTCTGACTGTTTCTGACTGTTTCAGACTGTTTTATACTGTTTCAGACTGTTTCTGACTGTTTCAGACTGTTTCTGACTGTTTTATACTGTTACTGACTGTTACTGACTGTTTCAGACTGTTTCAGACTGTTTTATACTGTTACTGACTGTTACTGACTGTTTCTGACTGTTTTATACTGTTTCTGACTGTTTTATACTGTTTCTGACTGTTTCAGACTGTTTCTGACTGTTTTATACTGTTACTGACTGTTACTGACTGTTTCAGACTGTTTCTGACTGTTTCAGACTGTTTTATACTGTTACTGACTGTTTCTGACTGTTTCAGACTGTTTCTGACTGTTTTATACTGTTACTGATTGTTTCTGACTGTTTCTGACTGTTTTATACTGTTTCTGACTGTTTCTGACTGTTTCAGACTGTTTCAGACTGTTTCTGACTGTTTTATACTGTTACTGATTGTTTCTGACTGTTTCTGACTGTTTTATACTGTTTCTGACTGTTTCTGACTGTTTCATTAAGTGTAGGAACTGTTAGTCTGCTGTTAACGGGACTCCGGAAACTGGGATTTAACCGTTTAATGACTTTTAACGACTTTTTAACCCGGGTTTAAATGTGTGAAAAAACAGGAGCAGTGTGTGTTGGTGTGTGTGTGTGTGTGTGTGTGGGGGGGGGGGGGTCCAGTCAGTGTGTGTGTGTGTGTGGACTTTAGTAAAAACAGTTTGTTGTTGTGTTTGAGGATCTCTAAAGTGACTTAATGCCTCAATAATTTGTTCTGAGGAGAAACACTTGACATGAAGTGGGTCAACAAACAGGTTTCACTTCAATAAAATAACAGAACGAAGTGATTTATGAGAAACCACATTAACAACACACATTCACACACTGATGGTAGAGGCTGCTGTTAGAGAGTCCGTCAGTATTAACTCATCCATTCATACACTGATGGTAGAGGCTGCTGTTAGAGAGTCCGTCAGTATTAACTCACCCATTCATACACATTCACACACTGATGGTAGAGGCCGCTGTTAGAGAGTCCATCAGTATTAACTCATCCATTCATACACATTCACACACTGATGGTAGAGGCCGCTTAAGAGTCCATCAGTATTAACTCATCCATTCATACACATTCACACACTGATGGTAGAGGCTGCTTAAGAGTCCATCAGTATTAACTCATCCATTCACACACTGATGGTAGAGGCTGCTGTTAGAGAGTCCATCAGTATTAACTCATCCATTCATACACATTCACACACTGATGGTAGAGGCTGCTTAAGAGTCCATCAGTATTAACTCATCCATTCACACACTGATGGTAGAGGCTGCTGTTAGAGAGTCCATCAGTATTAACTCATCCATTCATACACATTCACACACTGATGGTAGAGGCTGCTTAAGAGTCCATCAGTATTAACTCATCCATTCACACACTGATGGTAGAGGCTGCTGTTAGAGAGTCCATCAGTATTAACTCATCCATTCACACACTGATGGTAGAGGCCGCTGAGTAAAGAGTCCGTCAGTATTAACTCATCCATTCACACACTGATGGTAGAGGCTGCTGAGTAAAGAGTCCGTCAGTATTAACTCATCCATTCACACACTGATGGTAGAGGCTGCTGTTAGAGAGTCCATCAGTATTAACTCATCCATTCATACACATTCACACACTGATGGTAGAGGCTGCTTAAGAGTCCATCAGTATTAACTCATCCATTCACACACTGATGGTAGAGGCTGCTGAGTAAAGAGTCCGTCAGTATTAACTCATCCATTCACACACTGATGGTAGAGGCCGCTGAGTAAAGAGTCCGTCAGTATTAACTCATCCATTCACACACTGATGGTAGAGGCTGCTGAGTAAAGAGTCCGTCAGTATTAACTCATCCATTCACACACTGATGGTAGAGGCTGCTGAGTAAAGAGTCCATCAGTATTAACTCATCCATTCACACACTGATGGTAGAGGCCGCTGAGTAAAGAGTCCATCAGTATTAACTCATCCATTCACACACTGATGGTAGAGGCCGCTGAGTAAAGAGTCCATCAGTATTAACTCATCCATTCATACACATTCACACACTGATGGTAGAGGCTGCTGAGTAAAGAGTCCGTCAGTATTAACTCATCCATTCACACACTGATGGTAGAGGCTGCTGTTGGAGAGTCCGTCAGTATTAACTCATCAGGGATCAGATGACTGACTCTACCACTGAACCACAGTCGACCTATCCCTTTATTTATAGCCATCCCTAACAGCAGGTAGTCAAATAAACGTTGATGGACTTTGTTACATCAAACAGCTTTAACAGATTTATCAAAGTTTATTCTCTTTTTAGATCACCAACGTTTTGGCTTCGTGTTGGAAAAATGTTTTTTTGATAAACTTCAGCTCATTCAGCATATGATGACAGCACGCCGCTCAACTGTCGATCAATCCACAGCGAGTCGAGAGGTGGCTTTGTGGGCAGAGTGTAACAGTGACAACCTAACATACTTTTACAAATGTGAGCAAACAAAGAGAAGTTTATGACTCCACAGAGCTGTAGGATGGGCTGTGAGCAGTTTGGAGAATCTGGAGAATTTATTTGTTTAGTTTCTTTTAAATCTCTATTTTTCTTTTCCTCTAAACCACAAGTTCAGTCTTAGAGAAAACTCCACATTCACATGTTGAAGGACAGACCTCCAATTTCTGAGTGTGTTTACTGGAGGCTATGTGGATACCACCCACACACAAACACATGCACCCTGCCCCCCAGTCAGCCCAGTTGGTTGCTACAAATGGTGTGAATGGATGAACAGCAGAAACATGCAGGATTTACCAGTCGGTCCAGGGTGCATGCCTCAGCTACAACACCAGAGAAGTCTTGAAAAAGTGTTGTAAAAGTTTGAAGACGTGAGTGTCACATGTGTCACTGTAACATGCCGGGACCAACAGATATTTCCCATGAGGCACCAGAAACTCTCAGGACGCCAACACTGGACTGGAAGAGTTGTACTGGTCCTCTCTCCAGCAGCATGTTGCTGTCATGATCCAGTGATCGTCCTTGTCGTCTCCCCCGCTGCTCCCTTCTCTTCTTCGTCCTCTGCTTTTTTGATTTCCCCTCAGGAATGTGACCTCTGGTGACCTTGACTGGCCCTCTTGGGGATTTTGCACACTCGGAAGGGTCTCAATAGGACCCAGGGGCCTTTTCATAAGGACACTCCTTTCCTCTAGATTAGTGAAGTAAGGATACACTTACAGATTTCCCACTAAAACAAGTAACTAGTATTGTCTAAAAACAGTGATTTAACATGCATGACACAGGAGTTGCAGTTCTGTTAGCGTGCAGATCTCCCCCTGTCCCTCTCTGTGTCTGTGGTCGGGTGTCATTCCTGCATAGACCTCTGTGACTTTTCCTCCCTCTTTTCTTTTCTCTCTTTACTTCACCTCCCTTTGATGGATACTTAGCCTCTAAGCTATGACAATCCTCCCTCCAGCTCTTTCTTCTCTCTTCCCACTGAGGTCATCGCTGGTATGCAAGTTTGGTGTTCCCAAGCTAATCGATAACAATGTTCTTCTACCTGACAAAGAGCGTGCTCTGAATGCAAATGAGGGTTTTCCCCTTTTTTTTTGGGAGCTGCAGGCATGA